TGGGGGCTCGGGGACCATGGGGAGAAGGCGGGATCCAGCGCATGGTGCCTGCAGGCCGCACTGGCAGGGGATCTGTACCAGATGTAATCTACCAGCTTGGTCTGGGGCAGTGCAGAGAAGGTCAAATAAGAAAGAACTGCTTAAAACCAAGGCTACTATCAGCGCGAGACTGGGGACCTTAGACTGGGGACCTTCCTTATAAGGCATTAAATTAGCCCCCCCCCCACAGAGCACTTCCGCTTCCTCGCTGGCCAGCGCAAAGCCTTGTGCAAGAACTCTTGTGCAAGAAAACGGCCACACTGCCAAGTGCACGCTGTGCTTTTGTGCAAGAGCATCCATGGCCGTGTGGACGCTCTCTTGCACAAGAAAGCTCTGGTGGCCATTTTAGCCGCAGGGCGTTCTTGCGCAAGAAACCCCTGCCGAGCGTCCGCACTGCCCGCTTGCGCAAGAGGGCTTACACCGGTTAGAAAAGAGCGTGGCTCTTGCGCAAGGAGCCCTCTCTCACCACGCCGTGCTGTGCATTTCCTCGCGCAAGAGCAGGCGGGCAGTGAGGATGCTCTGCGGATTTTTGCGCAAGAACGGTTGCACTTGCGCAAGAAGCCGCGAGTGTAGACACAGCCCAAGAGTCACTGTGGCTAGTTCTCTGAGAACATCCACACTGTGCGCAGCGGCCGTCAAAAACCAAAGAGAATGTTAGGAATCCTACTGCCTCTCTATAAAACCATGTGTACAGATGTGGGTGCCTCTTCCCAAAAAAGATACACTGGCATTGGAAAAGGTTCGGCAAAGGGCAACAAAAATGAGGACGGGTTTGGAATGGATCCCATATGACCAGAAATTAAAAAGACAGGGACTTTTCGGCTTAAAAAAGAGGAGACCAAGGGGGGATAGGAGAGAGGTCTATACAATCATGAGTGGTGTGGAGAAGGCGAATAAGGAAAAGTTACTGACTTGTTCCCATAACACAAGAACTAGGGGTCACCCCATGAAATGAAGAGGCAGCAGGTTTAAAACCAACAGAAGGAAGTATGTCTTCATACAGCACACAGTCGACCTGTGGAACTCCTTGCTGGAGGATGTTGTGAAGAGCAGGACTTTAACAGGGTTTTAAAAAAACCCCACAAAAACCCAAACCCTAGATACATTCATGGAGGACAGATCCAGCGATGGCTATTATCTAGGATGGGGAAGGATTGTGTCTGCCAGAGGCTGGGAATGGGCGACGGGAGGGAGCACGTGAGGATACCCGGTTCTGTTCCCTCCCTCTGGGGCACTGTGGGCAGACAGGACACTGGCCTGGATGGGCCGTTGGGCTGACCCTCTCTGGCTGCTCGTACGACAATCTGCAAACGCCTCTTGGCAGAACTTTCCCATGCCGCTTGCAAGAAGGCACTGCAAGGGGTCCTGCACAGCCCCGCGGGCTCTTGGGAACCAGGGGCCTGGCTCGCTCCCGGCGCTCAGCAGTTCTAGCTTCCACGGCCGGCGCGGGAGGCCACGGTGTGTTCTGGTAGCAGGGCGTGGATCCGGGACGTCGGAGCTGCGGCAGCTCCAGGACCCTTCCCCCTGCGGAAAGCCCACCTCCGGCCCGCCTGCGGAAGTGGGTTGTGCCCTCGAAAGCTCAGGACTCGCTGCGTTTTGGGTTAGGCCTCAGTTTGTTTTTAATTGTCCAGACCGTTAGTCCCGCCCCAGACACCACAACCCCCAGCCAGACACAACCCACGCGTGGCCAGCCGGGCCAGGACACGACGACTGGAAAGGCAAAGCCAGGAGCAGAGCTCACGCCGGGGCGGCTCCTTGCCGGACGCTAGGCGACCGGCCAAAGGGCCTCTTAGACCCCGGCCCACCAACCGGGGGGGCCCTGAGCCCGTTAAATCGCTGCCCAAGGCGACACAGCAGGTCGCTGGCCGAGCTGAGGAGAGGACCCAGGAGGCCTGTTCCGTAGCTCCCTGCTGTAAATACTGGGCCTAGAGCCAGGAGTCCTGCCTCCTGCTCTAACTACTAGGCAACACTCCCTCTCACAGGGGCCTCTTAGACCCCGGCCCACCAACCGGGGGGGCCCTGAGCCCGTTAAATCGCTGCCCAAGGCGACACAGCAGGTCGCTGGCCGAGCTGAGGAGAGGACCCAGGAGGCCTGTTCCGTAGCTCCCTGCTGTAAATACTGGGCCTAGAGCCAGGAGTCCTGCCTCCTGCTCTAACTACTAGGCAACACTCCCTCTCACAGTGAGAACCCAGGAGTCCTGGCTCCCAACCTCCCCGCTCTAACCACTAACCTCTGCTCCCCTCCCAGAGCCAGGATAGGACCCAGGAGTTCTGGCTACCTGCACCTTGCTCTCACCGCTCAACCCTACTCCCTTTTCCAGACCGGAGAGAGGAGCCAGGAATCCAGACACCCTGCACTCTAACCACTAGACCCTACACCCCTTCCCATGCTGGGGTGAGAACCCAGGAGTTCAGGCTCCCAGCCCCCGGCCCGCTCTAACCACTAGACCCTACACCCCTTCCCATGCTGGGGTGAGAACCCAGGAGTTCAGGCTCCCAGCCCCCGGCCCGCTCTAACCACTAGACCCTACACCCCTTCCCATGCTGGGGTGAGAACCCAGGAGTTCAGGCTCCCAGCCCCCGGCCCGCTCTAACCACTAGACCCTACACCCCTTCCCATGCTGGGGTGAGAACCCAGGAGTTCAGGCTCCCAGCCCCCGGCCCGCTCTAACCACTAGACCCTACACCCCTTCCCATGCTGGGGTGAGAACCCAGGAGTTCAGGCTCCCAGCCCCCGGCCCGCTCTAACCACTAGACCCTACACCCCTTCCCATGCTGGGGTGAGAACCCAGGAGTTCAGGCTCCCAGCCCCCGGCCCGCTCTAACCACTAGACCCTACACCCCTTCCCATGCTGGGGTGAGAACCCAGGAGTTCAGGCTCCCAGCCCCCGGCCCGCTCTAACCACTAGACCCTACACCCCTTCCCATGCTGGGGTGAGAACCCAGGAGTTCAGGCTCCCAGCCCCCGGCCCGCTCTAACCACTAGACCCTACACCCCTTCCCATGCTGGGGTGAGAACCCAGGAGTTCAGGCTCCCAGCCCCCGGCCCGCTCTAACCACTAGACCCTACACCCCTTCCCATGCTGGGGTGAGAACCCAGGAGTTCAGGCTCCCAGCCCCCAGCCCGCTCTAACCACTAGACCCTACACCCCTTCCCATGCTGGGGTGAGAACCCAGGAGTTCAGGCTCCCAGCCCCCAGCCCGCTCTAACCACTAGACCCTACACCCCTTCCCATGCTGGGGTGAGAACCCAGGAGTTCAGGCTCCCAGCCCCCAGCCCGCTCTAACCACTAGACCCTACACCCCTTCCCATGCTGGGGTGAGAACCCAGGAGTTCAGGCTCCCAGCCCCCAGCCCGCTCTAACCACTAGACCCTACACCCCTTCCCATGCTGGGGTGAGAACCCAGGAGTTCAGGCTCCCAGCCCCCAGCCCGCTCTAACCACTAGACCCTACACCCCTTCCCATGCTGGGGTGAGAACCCAGGAGTTCAGGCTCCCAGCCCCCAGCCCGCTCTAACCACTAGACCCTACACCCCTTCCCATGCTGGGGTGAGAACCCAGGAGTTCAGGCTCCCAGCCCCCAGCCCGCTCTAACCACTAGACCCTACACCCCTTCCCATGCTGGGGTGAGAACCCAGGAGTTCAGGCTCCCAGCCCCCAGCCCGCTCTAACCACTAGACCCTACACCCCTTCCCATGCTGGGGTGAGAACCCAGGAGTTCAGGCTCCCAGCCCCCAGCCCGCTCTAACCACTAGACCCTACACCCCTTCCCATGCTGGGGCGAGAACCCAGGAGTCCTGGCGCCAGGCCAGGCCAGGTGCGAAATCCGGTTTGCCGGGAGCGGCGGGGGCAGGGGAGAAAGGCCTTGCGAGGCGCGCCGGCCCGACCCACCCCAGCAGGCCGAGGGGCAGGCCGGCGGGCGCTTAGCGCGGGTGGAGGCAGAGCTGGTACGGCTGCGGCATCTTCCCGAAGTTGTTGACGCCGGGGACCAGGCTGAGCTGCTGGGGCGCCACGGGCGAGCGGAGGGCGAAGCGCTGCAGGACGCCGGTGAAGAAGAGGAAGAGCTCCATGCGGGCCAGGCTCTCGCCCAGACACACCCGCTTGCCTGCGCCACAACACACCGGCATGAGCCCCGGGCGCCCGGCCGAGTCCCACGGGGATGGTACCCCCGGAG